TCCATGTGGTTGTATAATGAATCACTGGAGCTGGTGCCGTACATTCTTCAGGATTGTTACTACAAACTATTAGCCTTTAGTTAAAAGTGTATTAATAAAAACAGCATTTGAAAATGTATATGAATGAGAAAAAGAAATTCCCTTCCATTTTTTGCATTTTCAGTTTGATATTAAATTGAATTTGCAAAGTTCATATGCTGATACAAGTGGCTCTTTGGAAAATCTCAAGCAGGACTAAATACCCACCACTACCTCTGTAAAAACAGAAATGGAAAAGTTAAGCCATATTTTCAATGCCTTAGGACTTCAAAAACAAACTGGCTTATATCTTTACTTTCTTACTGTTTGCATAATTGCTTGATTTTCACAGATCGAGGCATGTGCTGAAAAGACAGGCATGCCATCTTTTATATTCATAAACTCTGCTATGAATCCATTAATAAATGGAGACATTTATTGCCAAATTGAAGAATTTTATTTTAATCTGGCAACATATGAAGCAAATCTACAAAACATATTTCTATTACTCCTAGTGTCTGGAGACTATAGAGGAATAGAAATGTGCTGGTTAAAAATAAATAAATAAAAGGCATGAACTGGGAAGATGACTCAGTGAGAGAAATTAAAACAAAATAAAATCTAAACCATGACATCTGCAATCATTTACAATGAGAAACACTATAACCAAGAAATTACTTTAAATGTGTCGGAGCAGAACACTTTGAACTTGGAATTCCCAAATGAAACATGTTAATGTCATTGGCCAGCTTTGTTAATCACAGGAGAGTTATTTTGGTATCTGGAGATGCAAAACTAAAATGGCTACTAAGAAATAGCCCTAGTATACTTTGCAGAAGTGTGCGTTAGCACTGAGGGACATGAGAACTATACGTAGAACATACCATGTAATATTTAATACCTATGCAGTAGGTGATATATATCATAGGACTCTGAGTTTAAGGAACTCTTTACCAATAATTCCTTCCTGTTTTTGCTCAGTCACACAGTGGTCACTCATAACATGCCTCTACACAGAAACACCTAGATATAACAAACCACTGAAAAAGAAAATCACAGTCTAAAATAGAAACAAACCACAGTTCTTGCTTTGTTCAGCTAGATATCATTAGTTTAGTAAATAGTCAGGGATAAGGTGCTTCAGACTCAGCTGTGAAGGCTCCACCTCCCGTTCTTTGAGGTTTATCATTAGTCCTGTTAGATGGCATATAGGCTGACATAGGACAGGAGATGGACCCATGGAAAACCTGGTGCTACAGTTCCCGAATATTTGAAATTAGCAGGAAAATAATGAAGGCACTTTTTTGAAGCACGGTCCCTTCAGCACTTTTTTCAGTTCACCTTACCTGAATTAAAGAAGAAACTACAATTGACAGGTGCTTTACTGAGTACTGTACCTGTGTCCAGATAGGGAGTCCATTCTTCAGCCAACGATAGGTTGGCCTTGGTTTTCCAGTGGCTTTGCATTCCCATCGGAGCTGATCTCCACTGTCTAACTGAGTATCGTTAAGCTTCTCCATCCAATGTGGATAGGCTGTAAAAGAGTACTATGATGTGATATGGGAGCATGGACACAGTTGACAGTTCTTTAGTTGGTATTACAAACATTCAGATTTTACGACCAGTTTGTTTTTAGTTATTGCATTAAATTGTGTGTGTGTGTGTATATAATACTGAGTTTCAGGAAAAGTGACGGAACTAAACAATTTTTGACCAAAGGATGCTATCAGATTATGAACTGAGCAATGCCATGCTTAGAAGCAAAAAGCCTTGCTCATGTAATAAAATACTGTAGACAAAAAATAACTACAGTACAGTTAAGACATTAAAGTAGCATTCTGAGTTGAAGATTTGTCTGGTTGCCATCATAGTAACTTTAACTTAAGACCTTTAACATATTAGTATGGAAACCAAACAGCCTGGTCTATCTGATGTCTGGAGCTCTACCAATTCAGTAGGAAACTAGGATTTACTCAACTGGAAAGGCAGGGAAGCGAGTGAACTATCTGTTCCAGTTCTTTTAAAAAGTGGTCACACGTGTACGCAATCTTATTTGTGCAAGGAGTGAATGCCAGAAGTATGGGCTTGCTCCTAAGAATGATGCATTACCTTGGGGTGCAGTAGAATTCTCCAGGAGCATAAATCACATAGTCAGAAAGAAGGAGACAGTTTTAAGGAGGAATGGGCCTAAATGACTGAGGGATCATGTGAAAAAATTAGTACCTTGAATTTCATCTTGGAGTCCATTAACAATAAATAAAATGAATGGAAACACAGGCCTTTCATCACGTAATCAGATTCCTATGTCTAGAAGCCTAGCCCATAAAGAGCTCACTGATTCAGTAAGACTTAATGAACAGATCACAGATCAGAATGGAGGATGAAGTTCTGTGGCAAGGAAGGAGCCACAGAATGTATATAATAGTCTAAAATAGTAAGACTAAAACTTTTAATTCACTTTTGCAATCAACTCAGGAAGGAGGAACTATATTTCTGGTTGAGCTGGATAGTAACCCAGAGTTAGCACAGTGAAGAATCTATTCTGGACAACAGTGAATCAATAAACTACTTAAATAAAGAGAACCTACATTAGACTGAATTTACAAATAAATCTTACAATCTGTCTGGTATTTGATAAGTCTCCCATCACAGAGCTGAAAAGATACGAGGGGACATGATGGTTGACTGTAGTGAGTATAAAAATTCTAGTGCATTGGTTTCAAGGGAAGTTAAAGAAGTCTATATCAGTCCTAAATGTGTATTATTTTGCAAAACATTGAATATGTGTGTTGCTCCATTGTCCCATCAGATTATATTTAGGGATATTATAATTAGTACATAGCGTTGCAATTTCCTGCCCACAGGCTGTGGGAGTCAAAACTGGATAATCATTGTACAGTTATTCCTTTACAATCTCAAACATGAAAATCCCAGTGGTCTGATTGGTTGATAATAACTATTGCTATTCTAAATGACTGTCCTGTAAATATGCAAATGAATCATCTCTAAATGGCCTCTGAACTCAGAATTTTCCAGCTATTTGCATGAACAAATCTGAGGGTTTTTTCCACTTTAAAGAAAGGTACGAGTATGCACAAGAGAAGAGTGGCCTAGGTGAGAATATAGTATGAATTAAGTTAAATAAAACTGATGGAAGAAATCTATAAAGTTAATAGAAAATAATTTGCACTCATTTCTTTTTTGCCTTCTACCTCTGTCAGTTGGTCCTCCTTAGTCAAGTATAACCACCTCTGACCTTCCTCGCTGCTGGTGAGCAAGATTCCTGTCCCCATAATAAATGTCACAATTTTTGTTTAAATTTTGTTTACCCTGTAGAATTCTAGCCTCTGACTGAGTTTGTTTTTTAAACACACTGGGAATAGATCCTAATCTTACTTACATCACTATAAATCAGGGGCAAAGTAGATATAACTCCAGTATTTTTCCTATATTATAGTTGCATTTAATTTATTATAAAAAAAACCAAGCAAAACACATCTTAAATATAAGCAAGAAGCGCAACAAACTATATAAGGATAGAGCCAGGTGACATCTGGCAATGAGCATGATCATAGCAGAGATATGAGTAAAAGAAGTATGAAGCTACTGTTTTCTTATTTAATATCCTTTAGGGAAACTGTGCCACAGATTCAGTGATCTGTACACATGCACTTTAATGTGCATTAGCTTATTTTAATGCATATTAAAACATCCCTTAAAAATGCTATTTAGCTAATGCACATTAAGTGTCACTTAAAAACTGTGCTCTTTAGTTAATGTACACTAAAACAGGCTAATGTGCATTTTCCTAGTACCTCACAGTGGAGGGCATCTATACATGTGCTCTGGGGTGGAGGGGGTCACTTTAATTAGAGCAGCTGCTTGCAGCGTCATGTACATTCAGAGTCCCACACTTCAAAATGGCAGTGGGGGCATTTGAACTAAAGCTCATCCAAGTGCTCCTGCCACCCTTTAGAAGCATGGGGGTACTAGATTTAAACTAGAGCATTAATGCAAATGTAGACTGAGAAACATAAAACTGAAGTGACTTTTTCAACAGATAGTGAAACAGTCCTATGCTACTCTGTGAGCAAAAAGAAGGCACAGGGTAGCATAGGACCCCTGCAGGACAAATCAGGTCCGTTGGTGGTTGACACAAACAAAAAGGCAGAGCTCTTCAATGAGTTTTTGCTTCAGTATTCCTTAATACTGATCAAGACAATCCCCCCACCTTGAGCATAGACAGATGTCCAAAAGGCACCAGACCACCAAAGGTTAGTGTTGACTTAGTTAAAGAGCACTTGGAAGGGCTGGATGGGTGCAAGTCAGCTGGCCTGGATGACCTCCTTCCACGGATGCTGAAGGAATTGGCCAGTGCCATTGCTGAGCCACTGGCACTGCTGTTTGAGCTCTCATGGTGCTCCAGACAGGTCCCTGAGGACTGGAAAAAGGCCAATGTGATGCCCATTTTTAAGAAGGGGAGAAGGGAGGAGCCAGGTAACTTCAGGCCAGTCAGTCTTACCTCTATCCCTGGGAAAATACTAGAAAAAATCATCAAGGAGCGCATTTGTGAAAGCCCAGCAGGGGAAACAATGCTGAATGGAAACCAGCAGGGGTTCGTCACAGGTAGATCCTGCCTGACAAACTTAAAGCCTTTTATGACCAGGTCACACACTGCCTTGACACAGGCTGATGTCATTTACCTGGATTTTAGGAAGGCCTTCAACACAGTTTCACATCCCATTCTCATAGGGAAGCTAACGGGCTGTGGAGTGGATGCCTACACAGTCAGGTGGGTGGCCAACTGGCTTAGGGACTGCACCCAGAGAGTGGTGGTGGACGGGTCGTTCTCAGCCTGGAAGGATGTGGGCAGTGGGGTCCCGCAGGATTCAGTCCTTGGACCGGTGTTATTTAATATCTTCATTAGCGATTTGGATGAGGGAGTGGTGAGCATCCTCTCCAAGTTTACGGATGATACCAAATTATGGGGCAAAGTTAATATACCAGAGGGCAGGGAGCAGTTACAGGTTGACCTGGACAGGTTAGATCAATGGGTGGAACGTAATAGGATGCAATTCAACAAAAATAAACGCAAGGTACTGCACCTAGGAAGGAGGAATCCCCAGCACACCTACAGGTTGGGGGATGTCCTTGACATTCACCTGGCTGGGGTCGTCTGACCTCAGTCCTCTCTCCTGCCAGGGGCAGGGGGTCGGATACAATGATCCATTGGGTCCCTTCTGATTCTATAATCTATGAATCAGTGGCTAACTACTGCCTCCAGTCCCCTTTCTTCTATCTTTACATGATGTGGCTGAGAAAATAATTGAGGCCTGTTTTTCAAGCTTATACACCCAGATGAACATGAGTCATCAATGTGATGAAGCGATCCGTAAAGCTAACTGCACTTTATCATGCATTAGCAGGTGCATGACAAACAGGTCCAGGGAGGTGATATTTCCCCTCTATGAGGCATTGGTCAGGCCGCAGTTGGAGTATTGCTTCCAGTTTTGGGCACCACACTTCAAGAGGGATGTAGCTAACCTCGAGAGGGTTCAGAGGATGGCCACTCACATGGTTAGGCAAAGCCCTACTACGAGGAGAGATTGAGGGCCCTGGATCTCTTCAGCCTCTGCAAGAGAAGGTTGAGAGGTGATGTTGTGGCTGCCTACAAATTCATTGGGGGGAGGGGAGCAGCAAGGAATAGGAGATTCTCTGTTTACCAGGGCACCCCTTGGAGTAACTAAGAACAAAGGCCACAAGCTGACAGAAAGCAGATTTAGGATAGACGTTAGGAAGTACTTCTTTACGGTAAAGGTTGCTAGAATCTGGAATGGGCTTCCAAGGGAGGTGATGTTCTCCCCTACCTTGGGGGTCTTCAAGGGGAGACTAGACAAGCACCTGGCTGGGGTTGTCTGACCCCAGTGCTCTTTCCTGCCGAGGGCAGGGGTTTAGACTTGATGATCTGCTAAGGTCCCTTCTGACCCAAACATCTATAAATCTATACCCTGTCTAGTCCCAATAAGTTCAGATAGAAGTGTGAGTCAGCCTAGCTTTGGCTGGATCACAATATTTGTTTGAAAGAGGGTCAAGGTAAGAGATAGGGACAAGGACAAGAACATATGGATGCTTCAGGCAAAAAAGGAAGAGAGCAAAATCTACTGGAGTCTCAACACAAAAACGTGCTCTCCACCCTCCGTGTGTTTTTTTTTTCTAGGGGTTTAGGTTAACTGAGTTTAGGCGTCTTCTTCCCACCCTCCTCCTATTCCCATTTGATTCTTGTCTTATCTAATATTGACATCAAGATGTACCATGATTGTCCTGCCCCCATATAAAACCATGCAAGCTAGCTTCCTATGAGAAGAGATCGATGTCATATATCTTGACTTCAAAAAAGCCTTCAATCTGGTTTCCCATGATCACCTCTTGGAGAAACTGGCCAATTGTTGCCTTGGGTCCTCAATGATCCACTGGCTGGAAAATTGGCTCCGGGGTCGGACCCAGAGGGTAGTAATTGATGGAAGTCACTCATCA